AGACTCCAAAACTTAAAAAAAAAAGACTCCAAAACTTAATGAGCTCTGTGGCCCTGGGCTAGTTACTTGATGACATCTCTTAATTTGTTCTCTCATCTGTTAAATGGGATGAAAGAACCCCTACCCCTGGGATTTTGACTTTGTGGTTATAGAATGAGAAAGATAAGTCTTGATAAAAAGAGTGCTTATATTTAGTAACAATAAGGATTGAGACATTGATATATTTTAAAAATATGGATGCATTGCCATGGGAATGTGCTGTGAGAAAGGACAGACACACAGACTTGCTTGTACATGGTGCTTATATATAAAACTGTGTATCATGCCCATTGCTAGGAAATGAATTATTATGCATGAGTCAGACAACTTATCAGAGAGCCTCTGATTTTGCAACTATTTCATGGATACTGTTCTTAATTATCCTATCTAAAGAGACTCTTCATAAAATTTTTCATAATTGACAATTATACATTTACATGTTCATCACCTGTCTCCCTGCTAAACTTTAAGTTCCAAGAGGACTTGTTCTTTGCTTGTCACATGTATTCAATGACTTATCCAGTGCTCTTTGTCAATAAAATGCTCAGTAGATTTTTTTTTAAGTGCTTGTCTGGCACATTCACTCACTGCTAACAACCCTCCACTGAGCATCAGAGATTGTGAGTCTTAATGGGAGTTGACTGCCCAGCTTTCTCCCACAGAGCTGCTGGGAGATCCGAACCACCGGGGGCAAGTGCCTTTGGGTAGCATCATAGCATGCCGTAGCCTACGCTACCGAGCTCCTTTCATGCCTAGTCCATAGACAGCCAACTCTGTTTCTGCCAGCGGTGCTTTGCACTTTTAGGAAGCCTGCCCACCTACCTCTTGCAGGTCATCTGGGCCATTTGGAGAGCTGTAGTATAGGGACAAGCCGTTGTCCAGTGCATTCCTAGGCAAGGCCCATTTCTGGAGCTAGTCTGCTTGGATTTGAATCCTGGCTCTAACACTGCTGTGCTGTGACCCGTGGCTGAGTGGCATGGCTCTCTGGACCTCCGCATCAGGGTTGATAACAAAATCTATTGCTCAAGGCTGTTGTTAGAATTGAACTCACTGCTGTGTGGAAGGCAAGTGATGAGGACCTTATCAGAGACCAGCTGTTGTTAGGATTAGGGTTCTGGGATGAAAGAGAAAGTTTCCTAAGACTCTTGTGGTTGAGAGCTCCCAGAAAGCCCTAGACCATTCTCTAGGGGTTGACATTCTGCGGACCCCCCTCCTCAATTCTCCCTGAGTCTGGTCCCTACCTCCTGACCTATATATCTTTGTCAACCTGTGCCTTGGGGCCCAGTGTGCCTCTGCATTCTACCTCCTTCCTAGTTCTCTTGCACTGAAGGCATCTTTACCTAAATTGGTGGTAGGCAAGGCCACTACTTTTACTCCCTGACGTGTGGATCATTGCTGGTACTAGTTCTAATTCAGCTCTTGTTTTGGGTACAGGGACCTTCCAAAGAAATGACTAGTTCAAGGAGGAAACAGAACAGGCAGATGAGACTGGGGGGCCCAGATTGACACTCCAGTGTTAGGAACATCTTAAAGCAATGCTTTGGACCACAGTGGGTAGAATCTTATCAGGCCACCTCTACCTTCTGGGACCTTGACACTCCCAGTAGAGTAGTCTTGCAGGGCTGGCCTTGTGTTCCCCTGGGAGCCCCGGGAAGCATTTACCGCTCCTGAACCAGCCGTGTTGCTCTGTGGCCTGTCCTATATCTCCTTGCTGGTACCTGATTCAGCTGCCACCTGGCTCCAGCCAACCATGGGCTGCTGGGCAGATATGGGCTTGCTGAGCAGCCTCTTAGTCACTGGTCATGAGGAAGGGGCGGTGAGTCTTCACCGTGTAGTTCGGAGAGGGGAGGGTTGCTCAAATAGAAAGGAGTACTGTAACCCACATACCCCCAGAATCCCAAGAGTTCTGTCTCCATCCAGTGTGACAAAAGCCCTTCGCTTTCTCCACTTACAGAGAAACATTTGCACGCAGTGCATACCTGTGCACGAATCACTGCTAAGCATGAGAGATCCTAGGGAGCCCTGAGCCTTCCTACCTAGAAATCTGGAGTCAAACAAGAGTAAAGGTTTGAAGGGAGGTGGGGGAGCCATCAGTTACAGTGTAGCACAATACCTCCCTTTTGTGAGCTTTGGGGATCAGAGAGGAGGGGCCACTTGTATGGGGGTGACCCAGAAGACTCTTGAAGAGGAGGATTGAGCTGATGGACAGGAGTTTTCCAGGCAGAAGGGACTCTGGAGTAGGGTGAAGAAGGACATTCCAGGCAGAGGAAGTAGCTTACGCAAAGGCAGGAAGCATGGGAGGATGTGAGGATGTGGCATGTTTGGGGAGCTGCAAATAGTTCCCTGTGGGCGTGCGCAGGGGCGTGGTGGGAGAGGAGGCTGGCAAGGCAGACTGGGCCACCGCCTGGATCTGTCCCTCCCTCTGCCACACAGACGCTCAGTGGGCGCCTGCCCACCTGCGCTCTGGCCTCTGTTGGGGTCTGGAGAGGCAGAAAGGGAGTGTGAGAGGAGTGTGTGCGCAGATCTGGGCCGTGTGGTGTGGGCCACTCTAAGACATGCTTGGCTTTGAGGAGGAGGGGTGAACTGAGGGAGAGGGTTCAGTTTCACTCTGAAGATGAATTTGAAGCCATTAAAATATATGGGCAATCACATGTGTCCCTGATGCCTTTTAGGAGCCCCATGAGGAACACCGAAATGGTCCTAGAAAGGACTCTGATGCCTGAAACCAGACAGGACTAGGGATAGAGAGCGATCAAGTGACCATCCACCCATTTTTCCATCTCATCTCTATGAAATGTCTCCTCTGTACACCACAAGTTGCTTGGATTAGGGGCATGAAGGTAGACACTGCCACAGACATACCCCTCGGTCTGACAGTGTTTGGCCTGCTACAGCTTCAAATTCTGGCCAGCCCTGTCTTGGGGTGTGAGCGGGGCAGTTGCACCATCTGGAGATGCGAGGTGGTATTGCAACCAACAGTCTCAATTGCTTGGGTGGGATGGGAGGAGCTTGAGGCCTGAGAGGTACCAAACCTGCAAGGTAGACTTGATTACTTCAGGTGAGCAGGAGTGTTTACAGCAAAATGTTGAAGTGTGGAGGGAGAGGAGGGGTGCCACTGAGGCACCATGAAATGTCCTCCAGGGGGCCTGAAGGATGAGCAGGGAGGACCTGCATATTCAGAGGTTTGAATGGATGCACCTTCTAGGTCAAAGGAGTTGTCTGGCCTGTGTCACAGGTACTAATAGCCACTAACAGTAGTGGAACATTTGCTGAGGGCTGGACCCAGGCTGGCCTTCCTGTGCAGGGTTTCATCTAATGTGGCAATTCTATAAGTAGATGTCAAAGAATGGGGACTCTGAAAAGCTAAGTAATTTGTTCAGAACCACGCAGCTCCACTTTCTTGCCCAGACCTGCTTCTCTTCAGCAGTTATGGGCCTGACCCACTGCACCGCATTGCCTGAAACCCAAAGCCCTGAGCCTGGGGACCAGAGCCACAGGTGATAAGGGTGACTCCAGGGGCTGTTCACATTTGAGAACTTGAAGTTCCTAGTAGAGGAAATGATTGACATGCCCATTGAAAGATTGGAATTTTAGTCTACCCAGGGTACCTTGGAAGCAAGGCCTGGTGATCTCCTGGAAAATTAAAATCAACCATTGAAAGTTCTATAGGATGCAATTCTGTTTTGAAACGCATAGCGTCACCATGAGTTAGAGTCATCATGATGGTGGTCATTTGAGCTCGTTCAGTTAGTACCCAAGTCTCGGGCAAAGCATGGCTCCCAAGGATAGGACCAAATCGGTCAGAATAGAGGAGACAGACAGGGATGAGAAGGTACAGTGGTACCTTGGAATGGGACAGAACGGAAGGACAAAATTCAGAATAGGTAGAACTGACTTTATATGGCTGGGAAGGTGGGGTGAGAAAATAGAGGCAGAGAGAGTGCCCTGCTTAAATTTATGAGTCACTGTGCCCTGAGGGCAGCAGATAAAAGGGTCTTCAAGTATGGATTTGTTAGCACAGAAGTACTGGAGTTTCTTCCCCACCTGGTTGGGGTGGGTGGGAATAGAGCCAAAGGGCAAGTACTAAGAGCACAGAGATGGTGAGGCGTGGGGGGATTGGGGAGCAAGGTCTTTCAGGCTTAGCCAGGAAACAGCTTGGGGAGTGAGGCAGGCGTAGGTTGGTGAGGGAATGTGAGAGAATGTCGAGACCCGTGCTGTGGTCCCCACAACGGCCTCAGAGGAGGATGCTCTTGCACAATTTTCTCAGCAACCTAGAGGTCAGCATCCTGGTCGGGGCTCCCTGAAGCTCCCCCTCGCCTGGTCGGATGCCTCTTTATCCCTGAAAAACAGACACGCACATACGCTTTGGCTTCCCCGAACAGCTCTGGATCCTTTTTCTTGCTCCCACCTTCCAGTTTTGTTGGAACCTACTCCTTTGCCTGCCACAACTTCTCTGCCAGTGAAGGCTGCTCACTTCTAGGACATGGGAGGGAACCAAGCTCAGAGCTCAGCAGGAGCAAGGTCTTGGGAACTGCTGGCCTGTAGGCCTACCTGTGCCTACAGGGCTGCGTCTGGGCAGGTAACACCAGGAGGAACAGAGGTCCCTGAGTGGTGCTGTGGATGTGCAGTGTGGGATTGGCCCTTGTAGGGGAAAGAGGTTCCAAAGATCTTTCTATCCTGCCCTGTCTTGGGCCGCTGGAAGACAGGGATCAAGTCATTCTCTTGCCACGACCCTCAAGTCGCTGCCAGCATATTTGGTGAAGGAATATATGAAGGGCTGGATCAGAGTCCTGCAGCGGGGGGCCGTGGATGTGTTCCAGCAGGGAAATTGCTTCGTCCTGGTGTTTGAGGTTTTGTGGTTTGTCAGAGCTGGTGGTTCTATAAGGCTATGCGGAAGTAAGAGTCAGGGGACCTCCTTCCTTCCTTTGCTCAACCCTGACGCTCCTTCTCTGCCTCCCCAGGTGTCACCTGAGAAGTGCCGCTGTGCAGTGGGCAGCATCTTAAGCGAAGGTGAGGAGTCACCCTCCCCTGAGCTCATCCAGCTCTACCAGAAATTTGGCTTCAAGGTGTTCTCCTTCCCGGCACCCAGCCACGTGGTGACAGCCACCTTCCCCTACACCACCCCCCTGTCCATCTGGCTGGCTACCCGCCGTGTCCATCCTGCCCTGGACACCTACATCAAGGTGAGACACAGGCCTGGTGGATAGGTGGGAGGACTGCCCAAGGTGACTGGAACTGTGAGGGGAACTGGTCTTAGGAGGAGAGAACTCTGTGTCCCCTGTGGAGTCAGTGTCTGCCGAGCCAGGAAATGGGGGCAAAGGCTGCTACGTCTCTTCCAGAGCATCTCACAGGAGCACAGGGAGCTTGCTCAGAAAGCTGGCCTATCGATCCCGCTTTGCTCTGACCTGAGACATCCTTAGTGTTCAGGTGGTGGGCAGGTCTTCATTCTGCTGGGGGTGTACAGAGCAAAAGCTCTGAGGCTCTCAGGTGCGCATGTGCTACGTGGACCCTCGGCTTCAAGCCTTGAGCCCTGTCTGTTCCCTGGACCCAGGGCGGAGCACAGTAGCAGGCCCCTGTCTGCTTCACTTTCTGGGCTGCACCCTGCCTGCCTGGAGGAAGGACGAGAGTCAGCCATGCGAGCCCTGCTGGGAGTCTTTTTCTTTAAAATTTTTAGTAGTTTTTCTTTTCCTCTAAAACCTTTCGTAAACTTGAGTCCCAGGAAAATGACCACAGTTTGGACCAGGAAAACCATTGTTTATTCATTCATTCAGCTTGTTGAATGGCTTTGTGCCGTATGTTTTTCTGGGCACAGTGATACATGGGCATGTGAAATAGGTGGCAAAGGTGGGTAATTAATGACAGACAGGTGGGATGTGTGTGCTGGAAAAGAACAAGATGTAGTGGTGAGCAAAGTCAGGCTTACCGACTTGGACAGAGTGGTCAGGGCTCGCCACTTTGGAGGAGCCTCTAAGGCAGAGCCATAGGAGAGTGGTCAGAGGTGGCCTCTGAGGAGGAAACCTCTAACAGAGCCGTAGGAGAGGGAACGTGTGGAGAGTGGGTTAAGAAAGTGGCAAGTAGAGAAGGGCAAAAAGCATAGGAAGTCAATGCATGGTTTCCACAGTGATCTGAGCCTGGTCTGTACAAAGTCGACTGCCGTGCCCTGTCACGGTTGGTAGTGGCTCTGGAGATGGAGGCCAGGGCGAGATTTGTGATCTGTTTGTGGGGCAGTTCTGAGGAATGTGTGGGTATTGGATGTTGGAGGAGGGAAGGGCAGGGATCGCCATGGAGGGTCTGGTTCCCTGTCACTTGAACAGGTAGGTTGAGTGTGCAAGGGGGCTCTTCCCTGAGACATAGGGAGTAGGGGAAAGGCATCTGGGGCAGATCAGCTCTGTTGGCTGTCAGCAAAGCAGCCTGATGAGAGACATCCAAGTGGAATGTGGAGTTGACAGTGACATGTGCAGAGCGTCTGGAGTTCAGAGAGAGCATTGATCTGCTGACTGTGTTTGGAGACATTATTATTTAACTGGACTGCTCTGAGCCTCCTGAGCGCTCTGGACCAGGCGGGCATTTGATGGACCATGGTGGACAGGGCTGTGCAGAGGGTGTAGCCATTGTGGCTGGGGTCAGGGTGTGTGGTCGGAGAACAGGCAAAGATGGAGTGAGCGTTTAGGAGGACTTGGAGCGGCCTGTGTGGCTTCCCCCAGAGCAGTGTAGGGAAGAGGATTTGGCCTTGATGGAAGTGGAGCTGAGACAAGGCCTAGGGGAAGCGGGTGTAGGAGTCAGCTATCAGACTCCTCTGATGAATGTGGCTCTGAGTGACCAGGTATGGCTTTGGTGGCCAAGACTAGGAAAGAAAGAAGCAAGATGAGAAGACCTGGAAATGGGAGGGCTATTGTGACAGAAGTCAGGGGCTTGGAAAGGACAGAAATGGTTTTCCTTTGTAAGCTGAAGGGTAGCAACAAGAAGGGGAGTTGGGAAAGGTGTACATGTCTGGGGGCTGGACGTGAGCCTGGAGGCCAAGGGACAAGACGAGACAGGAGTTGAGGGCGCTGGCTGGTGGTAAGGACAAAAAGGGACACCTGTGTCCTTGGCCCACACCGCATGCCTCCTGCGGGCTGGCCTCACCCAGCTCACCCAAGGAAGGGATGATGTGTGTTTTCTCAAGTCCTGCCTGTGTTGTCTTCAACTCCAAGGGCTAGACTGGAAGAAGCCACCTGGAAAGAGACTTCCTGGGTTCCAGACCTCAGAACAGAGCTCAGGCATGTGGTGTGGTGGCGAGCAGCTCAGCCATCAAAGCCTTTCCTAGCTTCAGGATTTATTTTTAGACACCTTTGTCCAAATTTCCCGGCCCCAACAGCTTCATAAGTTGCCTGCTTTTGACGTCACCTCTTTGATGAAAGTCTTCCCTCCTTCTGTCAGCCATGCTCCAGGCTGGAGTCTCCTGGGGTGGGGGCTGGAGCCAGGGCAGTACCTTTCTCTTTTCTGGGATGAAGAAACCAGGGATACAGGGGAAGAGTGAGGGGTTGCTCCCTCAGATGTAGGTGACATACTTGTGTGGGCTGGGCTGTGAGCTGTAAGAGTGAGGACTTCAGGCTGCCTGAAATGAAGGGGTGACCCCTTCTGCTTGTTCCTGAGAGGGTTCCTATGCCGGTGCTTCATCTAATCTTGTGGCCAGGGGAACAAAGCCAGGTAAGAAATGAGGAGGAGGCAGTCTGTCTGCTCCTCTCTGCCTCCTGTGGACACGGGGCTGGCCCTGTGCCACTCAGCCCTGGAAACAGAGAAGGGAGTGCAAGGCTCCCTCCCACCCCTGCCCTCTTCCCCACTGCCCTGAGGTCAGGGAAAGGAGGCTGCTAATGAGGCTCTGGGCGCTTCTGCCTCTCCCAACCCTGACAGCTGGCTGCCTTTAGAAGAGTAGGGGTGTGTGTGTGTGTGTGTGTGCGTGCGCGCGCACTTACACATAAAAGCTCCCCCTCTCCACCTCTCTCGCCTCTTTGAATCTGAGGGTGGGACAGCCCTGGAGGTGCTTCAAATGGAATGACAGCAGCCACTGGCCTTTACCCCCCACCCTTTCCAGGAGGGTTAAGGGAGGCCAGGAGTTGGTTAGCAGGAGGAGGGGAGGCGGATTTGGCAGACTCTCCTGCCTCCCCAGAGGCTGGGGCCAGGAAAGGGGGTGATGGGCCTGGGAGAGCTCTGGTGGTGGAGGTGGAGAACAGCTGATGTCTCTTGGCTGTTGCAGCTGTGGCTGAGCTGGGGCAGGACTGGCCTCCTGGGACAGCAGTGGCTTAGGGTGTCAATGTGAGGAGCCCGAAGAGAAATCGCTACAGGAAGTCTGGAAAAGATGGCTAAATCCCAGCTTTTTGGTCCCAAAGCAGCCCCCAGGTCTCCTGCCAGCCTTTCCTAGTATAGAAGGCTGTATGATAAGCCTGGAACTTGGTCTTTCTCCACATGTTCTACAAGAGGGTCCCAGGCTGAGCACCCCAAGACAGTGTGTGTGAGGAGGCTCTGGGTACTGTGTGGCTGTCACTACATATGGATAATAGCACGGTTTTATCAGGCTGCTCCACTGGCTTCCAAAGCAGTGCTTCTTGGGCAGGAGACTTTCCTCTAAACCCCAGGAGGGAACTGAGCTTCCTTGAGTGACAGGACCACAGAGTTTATGGGACCCAGATGTCAGTACAGGCCCCAAACTTCATCTCTTAGGAGTTTTACTGAGTATCCAGTGATAGGTCTGGGGGTTGTGTGTAAAAGATCCCCTGAGCCAGAGTCATATCTGCCTGTAGCTATTGGAGAGATGGTAATTGTCAAGATTTAGAGTCTGGTCCGGCCACATCTCCCATGCCTGACTTTTCACCCATCAGGATACAGAATCTTCTCTGTGTACCCCCTCGCCCAAGGTCTGTGCTTTTTGAGACTTTTCAGGGAAGGGCTATTGTGAAATACTTGAGGGACCTCCTCCCAGATTCAGGACATTGTCCATGGAGCTGCCCTTTCAGGCTCCAGGAGTGCCAGCAGGCCCTAGAGGTCACATGTGACCTTTATTCCACAGAACTGAAGGAAGTAGAGGTTGCTGAGGGGAATAGAGTGATGCAGCGATGAGAACATGATGACAGATCTGAGGGAGCTAGGCTGACTGGAGCTGTTATGCCAGGTGTGTAATAGAGTGGGCAAGGACCCGCTGCTGCTGGGAAGAGACCTGGGGGAATCTACCAAGGTTTCCCCAGGGATGGGAGCCACATTTGAACCCGTCCCTACTTCAGCTGGGGCATCTCTGCCTCTGGGCTGTACAAAGCACATGACCTTGTGAGCTTTTGTTTGGAGGAAGGAGGGCTTCCAAGCTTAATTGGTTTGAAAATATCTGTCCAGAGGAAGGTACACAATTGGCCAGATGCCCCGTCTCCAACTGTGTGTCTGTTGCAGGATTGAGGATGCTCTGACAGTTACAGAGCGAGTGAAGCTGGAAGGTGCCAGGGCCCACCCTTTATACAGTAGGGCAGGGGCAGTACTCCTAGAAGATATTGTCATTTTTTTATAATTAATTTTAATAGACATTTACAGAGGTTTTGGATTTCCATTCATTCATTGCCGCACTTTTCTCCCTGCCGACCCCTCCCCACCAGTTCGTTCCCCTCTCTGAAAAGAAAAAAAAAATTCCTCCATTAGTATACAATTCCCCCATCCTTTCCCCTCCACCCCCCACCCCAGTACACTTCTCTATGCAACCTTAATTCTGGATTCCTGTGCTAACCATAATACTCAATCATATATCACCTCTAATCTGTTCTTTCCCTCATCTGTTTGAATATAATATACATAATTTATCCAGTTTTTTCTGTCATGCCCCAACCCTGATGTCAGACCCATTCTACAACAGTGGCACCATGCAGTATTTGTCCCTTTATGACTGAGATATTTCACTCAGCATAACGTCCTCCAGGGTCACCCGTTTTGAATAATATTGCATGAGTTCCTTGTTTTTTAATGCGGCGTAGTATTCCATTGTGTGAATATACCACAGCTTCTCTATCCATTCGTTTGTTGATGGGCCCTTAGGTTGCTTCCAACTCTTTGCTATTGTAAACAAAGCTGCGATAAACATGGGTGTGCTTATATCTGCTTGGATGGCAGACATGGTCTCTCTGGGGTATATTCCCAGTAATGGAATTGCTGGGTCAAATGGTATCTC